GAGGGGAAAAGTGGGGATATTGGGCTCAAAAAAAGAGGCAACAGAATCCTGAAGTCTCTCTTAATCTGATGCTCTCTTTATTCGCCAAGACAGGGGTGGAAAAGCCGCGAAAACGGCGATTTTTAATACAGAGGGCGGGTAGAGCCTTGGGATGCTCAGTGGCGGCGATCGCAGAGTAACGGCAAAGATGACGCAAAGAAAGGCTTTAGTTGAATTTAAATCAAACTTAAATTCAATTCAAAATTGATTCGAAGTAAAAAGAACTTAAAATATAAAGTGAGACAGACTAGCCAAGGCGAGCCTCGCAGGTCAGCCTCGAGAGCCCACGCACGCGGCAGCTCGCCAGCTGTCGGTTGCTGCTCCTGCTGCTGCGGGGCTCCTTTTTACCGCCTATTATGATTTTTTCACCCTTTATCAATGAATTTTAAATTCCCATAAATAAAAACTTAAGTTTACAATCTAATTGGTTAGGGGGCCGCGATTTGAGCCTTCAGATTTGGCCTTCAACAGCAAAGGCCACACCGAGCCACTGGTCTTCGGGCTGAGGCCTAGCACATCGGCCCTGGTTATGGGCCTCCCAGTCCACCGAGTAAACCTGTAAATACTTTTCTGAAAATTTTAAATAAAATAAAACGAATAATTTGATTTTTAGGGAACGCGTGCCGTCGTAAAAGGGGTATTTCCGCAGGCGCAACAGCTCAGACAAGGTCACCCCAGCTTACTTTCACTGTATCGAGTGCATCGTCAGCAGCTGGAGCAACAGCGCCACAAGTTCACCACCTTCACTATATTTTTGCTGCATTTTAATTCTTTTTATTTAAATATTTACAGAAATTTCATTTGAATGGGTGCGAGCTAGTGTGGGCAGGACCCACATGTGTAAGACGCGCAGCCAACGGTAGCCGGTGCCCGCCTACAGATTGAAATAAGTATTTAAAACAAATTAAAATCATATGTAGAAGTCAAACCAAAAACCAATAAATTAAAACTGAGCATTTACTAGCCAGAGGCCTCTAAGTTAGGCTGGAGCCTTCCCTAGAGTCTTCCCTGTTATCTACCTGAGGCTGCAGCACCCAAACGCTGCAGCCTGATAAGCTGTACGCTGCTGCAGCGAATTATTTTTACACATTTGCTGCAGCTTTTGGTTTTATAGTTCCCTTGAAGTTGGCTTTTAAAGGGATTGCGAGGCGGGCACTGCATGCGAATGAATTCCTTGAAGAGGAGAGGCAAAAGTGCAAAAGAAATCCAGACACACAGAGCCAAGAATAAATAGAGGCAAAGATATAGTTAAAGGGAGGCCACAGCAACAGGCCAAGGCTAGAAAGGCGGCCGGAGGGAGAAACAGAGGAGTCTCTCCTGCTGCTGCTGCAGCTGTGCTGCTGCTGCTGCTGCATTGTGCTTGACGACGCAGCAGCAGCGTTTATTGTGCCCTTCTGCTGCGGCTGCCGCGGCATCGTCCCGCCGCATTCTGCTGCAGAAGCAGAAGCCAGCGCCCCAGGCTTTCCACAGGGCCCGCCACTGCAGCATAGCAGAACAGCCCCAGCCATCATCTTTTGTTGTTGTTGTTGTTGTTGTTGTTGTTGTTGTTGTTGTTGTTGTTGTTGTTGTTGTTGTTGTTGTTGTTGTTGTTGTTGTTGTTGTTGTTGTTGTTGTTGTTGTTGTTGTTGTTGTTGTTGTTGTTGTTGTTGTTGTTGTTGTTGTTGTTGTTGTTGTTGTTGTTGTTGTTGTTGTTGTTGTTGTTGTTGTTGTTGTTGTTGTTGTTGTTGTTGTTGTTGTTGTTGTTGTTGTTGTTGTTGTTGTTGTTGTTGTTGTTGTTGTTGTTGTTGTTGTTGTTGTTGTTGTTGTTGTTGTTGTTGTTGTTGTTGTTGTTGCTGCTGCTGCTGCTGCTGCTGCTGCTGCTGCGTTTCCTGGCTTTCCCCCTGAAGTTTTCCTGAGTTTCTCTCCGCCCGGTTGCCGTCTGCTGCTTCTGGTAAACCCTGGATTTAAATGGCCATCTGCTGCTGCTACTGCTCCTGCTGCTGCCTTGCCATTTAAAGGGATTGCTGCACTTCTTCATATCTCAAGAACCTTTTGCATGCGGCTGTTATATATGGGGAGCAATTTGCTGCTGGTGCTGCCAGAGGCTCTGAGGCCCCAGGGGCAGTCATTTGATTTTCTTAAATTAACTTTTTGGGAAGTTTACAGTTCTAAAAGGAACAATTATAACATTCGAGGTTTTTAAAAGTTTATTTAACAGATTAGAGGCCAATGAGCTGCAGCAAAACAGCCCATAGGCCGCACAGGCTTGCTGCCGACAGCACTAAGGTGCTGCATGCGCAGCAAGAGGCAAGAACGGGGCCTTTTGCTGCGGTAGCAGTGCTGCTGCTGCTGCAGCGCAGCAGAAGCACTGTTGCCAGCGCGCTTTGGCTTCAGCCTTTAAGTTTCTTTTTTTGGCGAATGCAGCAGCAGCAGCAGCGCCGCAGCATATGTAAAGGCAGTGCTGCTGCAGCGCAGCAGCAGCAAGTTCGCCCACGGCCTAATAGTATAGTTAGGCTTCGAGCAGCTGCAGCAAGGGCTTAATATGGGGGCCCCTGACCCGCAGCAGCTTTTTCAATTGGTGCTGCAGCACCTCAAAAGAGGTCCTTGTGCGTCGGAACGCCGTAGGACATTTGGGACTGCTTCTGCTGCTGCAGCTGCTGCTACCGCTGCTACTAATTTGCTGCTGCTCAGGGCCAAGGCAAACCCCTGAAGGCTTCAGAGGCTGCAGACGGAGCTGCTGCAGTGCAGCGGGCTGGTGGCCCAGCCCCTAAACCCTAAACCCTAGGAACCTAAACCCTAAACGCGAAGCTAAAGCCCTGCCAAAACTTAGTCTGTGGGTCTCTTACCACTCTATTATCCCCCCAAAAGCAGCAGCAGGGAAGCAGCAAGTGCCGCAGCAGCACAGGGGACCCCAGCCCCTGCTGCTGCAGCTGGGGACCCCTTTGCTGCTCTGCGGGCCTCAGCAAAAGGACCCGCAGCTGCATGCATGCGCCATAGGGGCCCCATATGGCCAAAGCCCCTGCTGCCAAGGCACCCCAATGCAGCAGTACTCTTATAAGAGGCCCCAATAAGCCTCTCTGAAGATCTTTTTCCTTTTCTGAGGGGCCCCCCATAGGCTTTCTGGGGCCCTGGCGTCCTCCTTTAGGGCCCCTTGGGGCCCCCTTCTGGGCCTCCTCGGGGACCCTCTCAGGACCCCTTCAAGAAACAGTGTTTCAGGTATCTTGGGGCCCCCCACAGGGCCCCCAAGGGGGCCCCAGGGAGGCCCCAGGGGGGCCCCAGAGGGGCCCCAGGGGGCCCCCAGAGGAGCCCAAGGGGACCCCCAAGGGGCCTCCAGGGGCCCCCAGGGGAGCCCCAAAGGAGGCATGAGGGACAGGAGAGTTTGCTGAAAAGTGGCGAGGGCAGTGCCCCGCTAGGTGTCTGCTTCTGGTTCTAAGTCTGTGTAGATTGCGGTGTAGCCTTTTTGATTTGTTGCTTTGTCTTCTTCTTTTTGGGCCTTTTTGGCGAGCATTTCGGCTTCCTGCTGCAGCTTGAGGGCCTTCATTTCAGCAGCAGAAGACACGCGAGTGTAGCGCTCCAAAAAGGTGCTGTTCAACTCCAAAAAGTGGGGGCCCCAAGTGAAACTCTGCAGCAGCAAATTTGCATGCCGCCGGTACCCTGCGGCGCACTCCGCAGCGTGTGGGGCCCAGCCTGGGGTGTACGTACACCGGAATCTGCCTACCAGCTGGGGTGTAAGTACACCTGCCCACCAGCTGGGGTGTACGTACACCGGAATCTGCCTACCAGCTGGGGTGTACGTACACCGGTATGCCTACCAGCTGGGGTATACGTACACCGGTATGCCTACCAGCTGGGGTGTATGTACACCAGGCTTTGCCTACCAGCTGGGGTGTACGTACACCGGAATATGTCTACCAGCTGGGGTGTACGTACACCGGAATCTG